CCCACCATCCCTGAGCTGAGTTCCCGGGTCTGTACACCTGCTGTGCACATTATGAGCGGCTCCCACCATCCCTGTGCTGAGTTCCCACATCTGCACACCTGCTATGACTATTATGATGCGCTTCTACCATACATGCTGAATTTTATTTTCACTTTTTATGGAAACTATAACCGCAACTAAACCTCCCAGGTGAAGAGGAGCAGAGCCAGGACCTACAGCAGGAATAGCACATTGGTAGTGCGTTCAAGACATACTGTATAAGAAGTCAGGGGCCGACTCAGCCCACCAGACCTTGATCAACCCCTGACCAGGGTTGATGTGCAGTGATGATTGCAGTAAACTGAGAAGTATCATGAGGATAAGATACAACATTCTAGGTCCTACAATGGATACCTCAGGCCTACGGTGAACCAGGTAGCATTGAGAGAAGCCATTATTCAGCTAAAATATTAGAAATATCCCTAATGAGACCAAAATAGATTGAAGAATCTGAAGTTTAAAGGAAAGAAACTATCACCTTTAACGAACATGTGATTCAGGTCTGGCATCGCTTTGAAGGGTTAATTGCTCCACCACTTCTAAGAAGAGGACATCACTGGGGTGCTTGGCAAGGTTCAACAAAGAGCTGCCATGTGTTACAGTCATTTCCACATCGTGCCGTTACACTTCTGTCTTTCCCTATTAATCTTTCCCTTTTTTTTTTTCCGCTGAACTGAGCCTTGAAATATTCAGCTGAGTAATATCCATCTTTCCCAGATCCCCAGCAAGAGGGACTTCTTCAGCCCCCCTGATCCTCTCCTGATGACTTTTCTGCTTTTTCCAGTCCGGGTGACTCGTCTCCCGAGGATTTCAGAGGGGAGGGCAGATATGAAAAGATGGAATTATAAGCTTCCCTTAATGCACTCGGAGCTGTTCCTTCAGGAATCTGACTCAATGTGTGAAGAGGCCAAGCAACCTTTACCAAAATGGGAGCTTTTCAATTGTATTTCAGGGCTAGATTTAGGCTGGGAGGACCCCTTATAAATGAAGCTCAAAAAGGGCAGCTTAGGTGTGCATTACAGTGGTACCTCAGTTCACGAACTTAATTCGTTCCACGATTCTGGTCGCGAACCGAATCAAACCGCGATCTCGACTAGAGGAAGCCACGACCACGTGTCAGAGCGGGGAAGATGGCTGCGGTTGTGTTCGTCACCCGATGCGAAGTACACGAGCGGAAGCAACATTTTGCCGAACTTCCTGTTCGTGAACCAAATTGTTCGCAAACAGAAGCGTTCGTGAACCGAGGTACCACTGTACTTAGGAGTGTAGGTCTTATAAGTCTTGTAGTGCATGACTCTTAAGTCTAATATAGTCTGGTACGGATGTCCAAAATTGCTAAAGGCCATGATGCAGAAAATGAATGTACAACTCTTTCAATCTTTTTGAATCTGCAGCTTTCTTTAAAATAATCCCCAGTGATCCTACCATGAAGGCACTTCCTGTTATAGGGTGACAGCACTCTGTCTCTGTCTGCCAGTTGTGCTTCTGCGTTGTCACCCTGTCATGTGGAAACTGTAGGCGGCTGTTTGAGCACACGTTACACAGGCCTGGTCACCGTCAGCAAATCTGCCTGAGAAGTGCCATGCAGCCATCTTTGGGGGTGAATGTAGACAGAGTGGCTGCAAAAAGGCTACAGGTGATCAACAGCACTGAGATGTAACAAAGGATGAAACAAGTTGAAAACAAGTATGTATCATTTTAATAATTTGCTAGTGTTAAAAAAAAAAAAAAGCACTTGACGCGGTTGCAGCGCGGTCTCATTCACCTCAGTGGTCATCTGCGTTATGTTTGCTGTACTGCAAAGCACCATGGCTGTGTGTACCTCAATGTCCGGGTGCAATGCCAGCTTTACAGCGGGCCGTGGAACAGTATAAACGCGAATCAACCTTCTGTTTTTATTGCCCCACATGGCCATGGCTTAAAGATAGCGGGGCTTAAAGGTGAACTATGGGGTTAGGGCTTTTCCCCATAGTTCTCCTTAGGGTAACGGGAGGACACAAACTAGCGTCCTCCCGTTACCCTAAGCTCAGTATATAGGGAGCTACAGCTCAAGGTATACTGAGACGCCGCAGCCGGGACGGATCCCGACAATTATGTCTGGATCCACCCAGCTGCGTGAGTGACAGCTGGCTCTGCCTATCTAAAGGCAGAGCCAGTTGTACCCGCCCCTCCCCCGTCCGTTCCGCCAGTCAGCGCTGGAGGATCGGTCAGGGGAGGGGGGGAATCCAGTCCCTCCCTTGTCACGGCTCTCTGCCAGCACAGGATCGAGAAGTGAGCGAGCGCCGGTATGTGTTCCCTCACCTCCCGATCTACTGAGCCGACCTGTGACAGTCTAATTGTCACAGGTCGGCTCAGATTATGAGGCTGAGTGAAAATCACTCGCCTCATAATTCTCCTTTTTTAAAGGGGAGACGCCTGACAAATAACAGCATTAAAAACACAAATGTATTAATATGGCTGTCAAGTCATGTGATCCCGCACAAGCACCGTCCGAAACCGAAACACGTTTTTTTGTTTTTTTATGCACTCGTTGGAGTTCCAGGCCTTAGATCTATATGGCGTCGCGAAGCAATAGTTTCCGAGAGGCCGCGGTATATTGGCCGTGGAATTGTGGTAACAGAGCGCGTAATTACAACATGACACGGAGCACGGCCGGGCCAGGGAATTCCACTGCATCATGGAGGGAATTATGGCTCATCACAATAATATCTTGATTAATAATGTAAAACCTGCCGTTCCCGCAACTTGACGTGCTGGGCGGGCTCCACTTTTTTGGCCCTGCGCCCTCCGAGGAAACATTTTCTTCAGCGCAGTCGTTACAATTAACCTGCGGGAAATAAAACTGTGCTGCAATTAAATATACAACAAAATTCTAAAACAAAGTTTTCTCTTCGGCTCACTTGGTTTCTAAAACGAGAGTGAGGCATATAACTCCCGCTATGTAAACCCAAAATTGATTTTTTGGTATGTTTGGCATATTGTGTTACTGAATATAGCTTACTCATGTTTTGTAAATCTTACCTGGACATCTAGCTGGTAACAGCACTTCCTGTTGCGGGATGACAATGCAAAGCCACCACCTCACAATTGGCAGCAGTGTTGTCAGCCTGCTGTGTGCGCAACTTCCATTGGCTGTTGGGCCATCTACCTGATAGATCTGATAGCCAGCTATCACTGAATAGTGGCCCAACTGAGAAGGGGGCAACCCGTGCACCTCTCGTCCCACACCCCTGGATGTGATAACAGCGGATGTAAGGACGGGGAGAGGCACAGGCACGAGTACTGGCAGTGTTGTCAGCCTGCTGTGTGCGCAACTTCCATTGGCTGTTGGGCCACCTACCTGATAGATATGATAGCCAGCTATCACTTACCTGAATGGAGACCCAACTGAGAAGGGGGCTACCCGTGCACCTCTCGTCCCACACCCCTGGATGTGGTAACGGGATGTAAGGACAGGGACAGGCACCGGGACTGGTGGCTGGCCGGGTTTTGCAGAGGCACTTGAGTGTGTTGGACCAGTTGGAGAGTCTGTAGGACCAGGCTCTATGAATTGGACCAGGTAACAGACATGGAGCCAGAGAAGCACTAGCTGGATGAGGTGGTTCAGAGTGCTGGTGGGACGAGGCACCAAGAGGCAAGCCAGGAGCGAGGTCAGGGTCATGAGTGAAGCCGGTCAAAGCCGAGGTTCAATACATGGGAAGCAGAATCTTGAGGTGCCGAATCGAAGATCAGTAGCAAGGTCAGGAATCATAATCCAGGATCATGCACAGGGGAGCAGAGAGTTGCAATACCAAGTCAGAAGGAGGAAGGCGGTTCTAGAAGGTCAGCCATGGACGCCTCCTTATTTTTGTTCAAGATAAGAGGCAATTTGATTGTAAACCTATCTAAAGAAAACAGCGGCTGTAAGGCACAAAATGGCGGACAGGATGCTTCCTTTGCAATGTATCCAGGACATCGCTGCATTCCCCGAATTGCTGGAGGCATCTTGGTGAGTGAAATCAGAGGGTCAGCTTGACCAAATAACATTTCTCTGTGATTATTGCCGTGTACTCGCACCTTGCTGATAAATTCTTCAACTGTGAAAATGTTGATAATCACTCAAATGTGTATTGAGAGCAACTAGTTTAAAGGCAAACATGGGCTTCCTCAAGTTGTTGTTTTTTTTAACTATGTTTTTAGCTTATTACGTATGCCAATTACATATGCAGCATGGGCTACCGGCTTCAAGTGGACCCACCAGTAACTTTTCAAGGCCACCCCCCCCATATATTACTGATATCACAATTAGAGATGAGCTCAGTTTGGGACTAAAAGTGGTCTGAACCTGAGCTCCTCCCAACCCAGAAAGAAGCTCCTTAGGTGCCACCCAATCAGCTGCCGGTGGGAATTCCCTGCGTGCAGCTTGACATAAGCAAAGGGGCGGGATGCAGTGACACCATTGACCTTATTTGGCTACATGCCTATATTTGGTCAATGACGTCAGCACAAGCCTCCCGCCCCTTTTGTTACATGCATGCAGAATAATGATGATAATGGGGTTTGGTCATAAGAGGTCAGTGTCAGGCACACTGCACCAGCCACGCTGCAAGCAACTGAACAAGGAAAGGTAAGAAACCCTGACAACGCAGCACGTTCAACGCGTATATAGCATATCAGTGAGTTAAATGAATGTCAAGTTAAATAAAGTTGTAAAAAAGCAAGTACGTGTTTTACACGGCATCCCAGTGGACGCAGGTTATGTGCCCCTTAGCGCGTGCCTGCTGATGTGTATTTGTTAAATGTATATTATCATTTCCTTTCCAGTTTTGCTCATACAGAAAATGAAATTATTTTTAGAGTATCTTTTGAAGCTCAAAATTGGCTTTTTGTTGCAGTTTTTGTAAACGGACCGGATTTCTGTGACATAACGATTTGAGATAAATATTTATAACCGTTCCAATTTGTTTGTCTTCTTCCCGCAGCCCTGTGGGTGCTCATCGTCCTCCTCCTCATCGCGATCGTCGTCGTAGCAGTTTGGCCGACCAAGGCGTAATCGTTGATGACGGCCACCACCTGACGATTCCTCATCTTCCTACAGCAACGGATCTCACACCAGAGGACCTTAAACGTATTCTAATCAACACATAATCGATTCATTTTCTGGATTCCTTCTTGATGATGATGATCATGATCATTGAGATTTTTCATCTTTTTTTGCCATTTGGAAGTTCCGTCGCCTCACCAACACTTTTAGCATCCAATCTTTGAGTCCGGACGCCATCTTGGAGGAATCCGGTGCTGAAAGGGTTACCATGAGATACTCCTTTATTTCCCCCGTGGGCTGCTCTAACTTAGTGTGTTCCAAAATGATATATACGAAGTGTATATAAATATCCGCAGACTCACCCAGGCCAACGCCCATCCATTTTCAGACCTGCGTGACATCAAATTACCTGAAACCAGCTGTTTTATACTCTCTAACGACCAAATGGATATCTCGGCTCTATATTAAGCTTTTTGCAGAGATGGGGGGGGGGGTGGAAGAAAGGAAAATTTATAATAAAATTCAGAGAACATAAAAAGACTGGAAAACATCTGAGTCCCTCTCCCGGGCCCTACATGGGGGTGTATAGTTTGATACGAAACAAAACTTGTCATAATTATGTCTTTTCTCTGGACAATTTAAAACTTTATTTAAAAAATTCTCATTCATTCTTTAAAAATCACGACCACAGTTGAGGAACGTCGGCCTATTGTACCCCGAAAGAGAGCAGGAGCCGCCACCGCCTTGCTATAAGCTGTGCAAAGGGTTCTGGGAAAAAGCCACAACTGCTGTTTTTGAAGTGGATATGGACAAGCACTTGCCGGGATGTGAGTCTGTTCTATGCTCTTGTCCATCAGCCTCTGGGTCTTACGACGTCGAGGAACAGAGCGTACTGGCTTGTCCAGGATTTCCTTCACCCCAGCGAGAAATTTGTAGACAAGTGCTTTTCCCAGGGCTTCGCGATCCCTGAGTGGTTCCATATGGGACGCGCATAGCGGGCAAGTTATAAGCATCCGTACGCATTTCTCAACAATCTTCAGCTGACACATCTGACACCGTGAAATGAAAAAGCTGTTGAATTTCGGGGAGTGAAAGAAATGTTATAATAGAAGTGTTTTAAGATGTAGCCAAAATTAAGGGCCGGAGTGCAGGCCGGATACTACATACAATAAAAGTAACTCACGCTGCAAAGCTTGTCGGTATTTTGTAATAAGGTTTCATTGGCTGAAATTGTTAACTCCCTCGATGCCTCGGGTATTTTTTTTTTTTGTTCTCTCTCTCGTTCTCCGTTTTACTTGGTGTGGCTGCAAGTTTACCATCATTCTTAAATTAACACTACATCCTCATCCTCCTTCATCTTGGCTTCTTCCGCCTCCATTGTCCCATTATTGTTGGGCTTTCCTGGAATCTTTTCTGGTCGTGTAAATGTTCTAAATACCATATTAATACCCTAAATGTTATAATTAGAGGTGCACCGAAATGGAAATTTTAAAACCGAAACGAAACCGAAATAAAAAAAAAATGTCAGGCCGAAACCGATACCCTGAAATTTTTATTTTTATTTTTTCACATTTTTAAAATATTTTATTTATTTTTTTATAAACTTTTTAATTTTTTTATATTTAGTTTTATTTATTCATTCATTTTTTATTCAATATTTTTATTTTTTACTTTACTTTTAGGGGCTTCAGGGAAATATTAGGGGTCTAAACAGACTCTTGATATTTCCATTTTAAAATAGAAAAAGAGATTGAGAACACAGAGTCCTCAATCTCTTTTTTTTTCTGTGTCCCTTGTTATCAATGAACATGAATCCTCTGAGTCTTCCTGTTCATTGATAACATGAGAACATTGTTTACTATAACCACAATCATGAATAAACAGGAAGTAATGTAGGAGGTGATGTAGATCACTCCCATTCATTCATAATTGAGGCTATAGTACACATACCATATCCTCAATTATGTACAAACACTCAGCGATCACTGAGTGTGTGTACCTTGCTTTTCTCTCTGACACGCTGTCACAGGAGGCTGATCGAGCCGTGTAGAGAGGAAAGCCCAGCCTCCTGTGACAGCGGTGTCTCCGCCCCCCACACCGCTCTGCCGGACTGTGATAGGCGGCCGAGCGGTGTGGGAGGAGACACCGGCCGCTCACAGCGCTCTCCACCTTAGCACTCGGCCGGCTGTTGCTTTCTCTTCTCCCCGCTGGGACATAGAGCAGCGCCCAGCGGGAAGGAAAGAAATCACGGATACTCCGATGTATATATAAGTTATAATTGTTCTACTGTTTTGTAACCCGATTCAGCAAAACGTCTTGTGACTGACATTTGTGAACTTCTAATAGCTTAATGAGGGATGATGTGATACATGGTCAACGTTTTGTGGACACCTGACCAGTTTCCGGTGAGGGCTTTGGTCAATGCAACAGCATACAAAGACATTTTAGACCAGTGGTTCTCAACCTGTGTAACCTCAGGACCCACATTCGTCCTTGGTCATTAACTCATGACCCAAGTCTCACTGCAATGGAATGCACAGAATTAGGGTACAGCGCGTTCCGATGCGGGCATACAAGCTGTGGGTGGGAGGTGTGTTTGGGGTACCATTCAATTTAATGGCAAGGCAACACACCTCCCACAGCAAAATGCGCGGTAGGTTCTATAGCGTGGTACAGTGCGTTAATTGCACGGTACTATGTGACTACTGCACTCTACTAGTGTGAACGGGGTCCTCAAAAACACTGACATACACACACAACCACAGACACACTCACAAACATTCTCACATACACACTCCAAAAATGTTTTTATAAGGTCCACCCAGTCTCCCTAGCTTACGAGAACTGGAGTGGATCCTCAGCCTGGGGTCCAGTGTGCTGTAAAGTAGTCACCGCTTCAAACTCGCTCCTGTGATCCACTAAAACCTCACAAATACAAATCGGTAAACTAAACATGAGATTGTAGTCCATCCCGGGAGTGAGCTTGGATCGATGACTACTTTACAACACACACAGGGACCATGGGGAACACAAGTAGCCCCCCTCCAGAAGGAAGGACAGTGTCAGCGCCAATTCAGAGATGATTGGAGGATCCACAGCCGAGTGATACACAAATAAGATACATTGTTGTTAATAGTTCAGCTACTTAAATGCACTTTTTTCCCCATAGTTCTCCTCAGGGTAACGGGAGGACACAAACTAGCGTCCTCCCGTCACCCTAGGCTCAGTTCGCGGTATACTGAGACGCCGCAGCCGGAGCGGATCCCGACGTAGATGACGGGATCCGCCCAGCTGCGTGAGTGACAGCTGGCTCTGCCTATCTAGAGGCAGAGCCAGCTGGACCCGCCCCCCCCCCCACGACCTGTGACAGTCTCTACTGAGCCGACCTGTGACAGTGGAAATCACTCATCTCATAGTTCTCCTTTAAGGACCTTCAGTAGCTTAGAAATAGGCCATCAGTGAATTCTGGGTTAGTGCCCCTCTGCTCTTTACCTTACTGGCTAGACCAGAATTTATGTGATGGTTCAAAAACATCCAAAGCAGCCATGAAACTCTTTTTCTCCAGTTTTCGTTCTTTTGAGTCGAGCTCTACCCTTTGCTTCCTAAACAATCAGAACATTGGCGATTGGGAATGTCTTGTCAGAAGGCAAAATTTTTCTTCTGTCCCTGTTTGAATTAAAACCATAAGTCTATAGATCTCAGTCCTGCATGCGTTGGAGCTGTCCAACGTTAAGTTTATTCAAGGGGTCGTGTTACGTTTCAGGGAAACGATCGGGGTCTATATCTCATTAGTAATCTGTGGACCGGCACCCCTGTTTACAGGCGTCGGGCTTTTGTGGGCAAACCAGGCGTCCGTGTTTTCCGAAAACGGCTCCGCCCTGGACTACATCCCATAGAAGAGCCCAGCCACCCACGAGAAGAGACATTTCATTCCGCCGCAATGTTCCCCGCACACAAAGGGGCTCAGTTTTAAGAGCCCTCAACTGTCATACTTTCTAATTAAAACTGTCACGGATTTATACAAAAAAAACAAAACTAAACGGCTTTTTTAATTGAGTTCTCAGCCTATGTAAATGAGTCCAAGGTTTAAATGTACAGCTGCGTTCGAGTGGGGTTTTTTTTTGGTTTTTATACCGCGGCACTCTTGCAGAACCGGCCTTTTGTGCGACGCTAGCTCGCTATATATCCTCGGTACGGTCGAGGAGGGCCAGCGGCCAAAAGATGATTATTTTGGCGCCGTAAAAAGTTAATTAAACTCCCAACACTTTTGTCTGCTCTGGAGATGTTTTGTAAAAGATAAGACAGGCTTCTGGCACCGGCTTCAGAGGACGAATAAAAAGGTCCATGTTTTTTCTGTTCCGTAAACAGATGGATCTGCGAGAAATGAGAAAGATATATTTTATTCTGGCTGAAGCAAGTTTCTTCTTTTTTTTTTGACTAGGATATTGTATTTTTTAAGAATTAAAGTATATTTAAAAACTTTTAAAAACATGTTTTCTGATAGAGCCGGGAAGGGTTGAAGACGTGATATTAAAGTCCATAGGTTTTTAAGGTGATGGATGCTGCCCCTTGATGTTTAAAAGTTTGTTTCATGCAGAATCAGCTGGTCCCCTGAGCGCCAGTCCTGATACCCCGGTAAGGGACAGTTAACCACTTCCCGGCCGGCCGTTGTAAAAAAACGGCCGGCCAGGAGCTATCTAGATCTGAGCGGGCGTTTTTTAGACGTCCGCTCAGCCACGCCCCCTCGCGCAGGGGGTCCTAGGTGACATTAGGGGTCTTGGAGACCCCTGATGTCTCCATAAAGAGGACCTGTCACATATTTTGCTATCACATAAGGGGGTTTTCTAACCCCCCTATGTGATAGCAATAAAGTTAAGTGAAAAAAAAATGTACGTTTCCCGCCCCCCCAAAAAATGTAAAGTTACAAATAAAAAAATAAATTATTATTTTTTAAAGTCCCCCCATACATACACGCATGCAAACGGGCGTCGGGTGCGCATACATGCGAAAACGACGATTTGGCCCATTCCGCCGCACATGTTACATATCGTCGCGAACGTCGCAGTGAGAGCAATAATTGTAGGGCCATCAATCACTGATAACACTAAACTGATGAGCGGTAA